GCAGGGGGGTTGGTTAGAGTCAGGTCTGCGCCGAGGCTGCCAATCTTTACCATACTTAAAAAAAATAAAATAAATAACACCGACATGCTGCAAAACACACCGCAAATCCTTTTACATGCCATGGCTAAACACAGACGTTGTCAGGTTTGACTTGGGGGACCCTCAGGCTGGGAGAAACCAGTAAACACTTTGCTGCTCATGTCAGGAGGAATGTGGCCTCTGATAGTTGTAAATTTTGAGAAAATAAAAAAAAAACTATTTGTTTAATATCGTCCAAGATTTCCACGTTTGCCCCGTCTTTATCTGACAGCACACAGCTGTATTTGCCGTGTTTTAAATAGCAGTTTTGGCTAAAAAGCATGCCAGTATATTTTACCACGACCCCTCGCTGCTGACAGGCAGGCGTGTGTTGATTCATTAGTGCATCGCTGGCATGAGAAATTAAGTGTGACCACTGTGTCTCAAGACTGCTCAATGGCTGTGTTAAATCTGTCATATTCACATGAACACACACAATCACACATTCAAATTGTAGATTTAAAAAAAAGAGGGGAGCTCGTGGAGGAAGATGAATAAGAAATAATGCTCGACCAAATATCGTTATAGTTGTCGGCGGCGTAAGCGGGCGTCTCGGCTGTTAATGAAATTATTAGTGTTTGTCCATTAGCACGTTGATGAAAGATGCTCGCCTCTGCCTGATGTGAAAACATGTTTTTTTTTCACGAGGGTTTGCAAACATAAACATTAAAAGAATAGAAAAGAAGCGCAAAAAGACAAACATGATTATGGACAAATAAGTTGCAGGTGAGGCCCTGACCTTAAATAAAATATTAATATAATAAATAAAATAAATCCTATAACTGACAGTAAACTGCTTAATTACTCAGCTGACTGTGTGTTGACTGGTTTTTCCTCTGTTTTTATTACTTATTTGCAGTTATGTGAAGATAACTTGCAGGCAAAAGTTGCCTAAATCTGACTTTTTTTTTCACACGACATCTGGGTTGAAAATTTCAAAGTTGGAAACTTGGGAATTAGAAAACTGAAGTTCAGCTTTTAAATATATCTGCAGAAAATTAGTTTTAGCYATGAGTGGTGCCAGMGCTGAACATGGTGGAAACAGTTCTGTGAAGGAATTTAATGAACCGAACACCGAATGAAACAAACTGTAAATACCGTAACAGTTTTTATAATACATGCACGTCATAAATGTCGTCTTTTTATGCAACTTAAATGTTTAGATTTCCATAAACTTTAGGTTAAATTTGTTGTTTCAATTATCTGTGCACAACAAAATGTTTTTATTTCTGATTGGATGTTAATGTCAGTTATTTCCTACAGAGCTTAACATTCCCCAGAGAGTTTCAGGAACTTTTCTCTCCTCTCTGCAAACATTTATGTGWCCTGAATCTGATCATGAATCAGATGTTTTAAGTTTCACGTGTGGCTCTAAATCAGAGACGATAAGGTTGAATCTATCCACAACACGAGTTTGTAAGAAGTGGTTCAGCAGCTTCGGAACGTTTTCATGTTTATTTCTGTAAACGTGCTGCAGGTGACGTCACATCTGGTGCAGGCTGTTCAAACTGAGATCTGCACTGCTACGTGCACAAACACTGGTGATCTGATCGAACGACGGACACTGAGCACTTTCTGTTTTAACACTAAAGAAGAGCAGATGTGAACAGAACTTGACAAACACTTCCTTTTTAAAGATTCCTTTAACTTTAACAAAAACTGAATACACATAAAACTACCATTTTTAGTTCTATACTGTTTTATTAGTTAAATTGAAGTTATTTTTCCCCATTTAACTTCGTCATTCTGCTGTATGTTTGTTCAATCGTCAAAGTAAATGCCACTCTGCACTTTTGTTTTATTTTAGTTTAAATTAAAAATTCACCAGTTTCAGGAGTGGAAAAGCTTTCGTCAGCCGACAGAGGAGGGAGGAAAAAAGGCAACAAAATAAATATTAAACAGTTTTTTTTCCCAGATAGAGAAGTTTGATCACGTTTTGTCTTTATCARTTCATCATATCTGGATCTTATAAGGACCCTGGATGATCAGTTAGCAGCTAAAAAGATTCCCATCATGCATTTCAGCAGCACCAGTCATAGTCCAGCTGTGCAGTGAGAATGTTGTGAGTTTTTTAAGCTTTTTGTTTTCTGACTGCCGTTGTCTGTCAGCTGCAGCTGAACAGGCAGGCGCTGCAGGAATGAAGAGTTCAGTGTGGAGCTGAGCGCCTCTCCTCCACCGTGTTAATTCACCACGACAAGATAAAGCTGTAATCTCACCCCCCCTCACTCCCACTCCCACTCCACTCTGGCCCCTGCTGCCTCTCCTCAAGTCGACCGGTTGCAGATGAGCCTTTTGCTTCCMCGCTATCGCTTTCCCACAACTGCCCCGAGAGCAGGAGACCCCCTGTCTCCATCCCTCGGGGGTCCTTCAACACCCCCAGCTTGTGGTTAATCCTTCCTCCCTCACTCTTCATCCACTGACAGTCATTCATGACGAGGATTGGCACCGTTAACCTCCAAAAAGACATATTTAACAACAGAAGTGTGATGGGACACAYGTTAGTGCTTCCTCCTCAGTCATCCAGGAAGTGAAAAACAAATCCCTGATTATTTTTATTCTCAGCCACCTGAGGAGAACGGCAATAAAAAGCCGTTTGTGTGCACCCCCCCATCTAAACGAACCAGGATTAATCTAATCGCTGTCCCTAACAGATAAACCTGGAGTCGATGTTCCTGCACGGGCCCAGGACTTTGGTTTACAGTCAGCACCTGCCACACACGCAGAGTCCAGCCTGGGAGGGGTGTGCGTCCTAATCAGCGTGCTAATTACAGAATTAGCTTGCCATTACGGCTCCTAAGCACCGTTTATTGTTTTACGGGTTTATTGTCGGCGCGGGGGCGGGCGGGGTAAAGGTCAGCCGGTGTTTTCGGAGCACCTGAAGGCGTGCGTCGAGGGAGACAGGTGGAGTTTTTAAGATTCAACAGGGTGAACAATAAGTCTAATCTTTATTGAACATATCAGATAATTGATCCACCCTGTGTGGRTCAGGCAGCAAGCTATCCTCCACCAATACATGGAGTCAAAAGATGCAGAGACAAACATACAACTGTGTCACACTTCCTCCCCCAAACAGGACTCACCCCAGCCGCTCACGATCTGCAGCTTTAAATCAAATGTTCTTAAAGAGGGGAGAAAAGGAAACAGGTGCACCCAGACAGCCTTAAACTTTCCCCCTTTTCTCCATTTAAAACAAAAAAACCAAATCTGCAGCTTCCAGCAACATTCTGCTTTTCCCTCACGAACAAAGTGACTTTCTTCCTTTTTAGGACTCGGCCTTTAGTTCGTACTCATCGCAGAGGTATGTGGAGTAATTTAGTGTTGAGTAAACAGCATTATCACAAAGTTTATCAGGTTTAAACACAAATCGACTCTGTGCTTCTGAGATATTCACTTTATTTAAAAAAAACAATCCAATTGTTCTGAACGTGTTTCACCCTCAAACTGCATCATACAATCAGTTTTTAAAGATAAATAATCGCGATCAGGAAAGTTTATTTCTGGTTGAAAACATTAAAAAATTCAATCATTTTCTCTCAGTGGTTGGCAACAAATAATTTGCATCATTAATTAATAATTTGTCATCAGTTAGGGATGGGCAGTGTTTCTTATATTAAAATTTAAAGAATTAATGCTATATTAGCTCCCAGTGGTTTTCTGCCATCGTACTTTATTTTGAAAGGGTTTTAAAATAGTCAGCCTCGCTGTGCATCCTCTGTCCACGTTGATCCATCAGATCAGAGAAAACGAAGAAAAGAGACATCAGCGGGATTAGCAGTGGGACACGAGCGTTTCAACAGAGGAGGCGTCAGCTGCAGGACGGGGACTGAGGACCGTAAACTTTAAACACATTTTCAGATGGTCCTGAATCAGAAAGCAGAGTCTAAAATTCGCTCTATTTGATGCTACAGATATTAAATGTAGTTACAAACTTATATTCGTATAAATGATTAAATGCAGGGATGGGCAACTGGTGGATGGAGGGCCACAGACGGCCCGCGGGTGACTTCTGTTCGGCCTGCCAACGAAGAAATAAAGTTTTTCTTTAAATGTTTTTATTTTGGCAGGTAGACCATCTGTTCAGTCAGCTTAGAGACGCTGCTGCCATGAAGGATTTTATTATAAATCATGTTGCACAAAGCTAAATATGAGAAGTTTACCAAAGACTTTTTACCACATAGGAGTCGAGGCGTTTTATGCCGTTATACAGTAAAGTGTTTTTTTTTTTGCTCCGAATATTTTGTATTTATCTGTATTAAACAAGAGAGCTGTTCTACATACATTTGAGCAAGACATATGTTGAGTTATTGCACTGTATGTTTGTTTAATAAACWTAYTTATACACAAACATTTATAAAATGGCAGTTTTAATTCGACTGTGTAAGTGTGTAGCTGTGTGGCCATAAAACTGTCTCCTCCCATCATTGAACCTGCCCATCCCTGATCTGTTGTAAGGTTTACTGCTGCAGATCAGACGAGTGCAACTTGATGCAACTTTAATCAAATGTTGTTGCAGTTTTGTTGATGACAGACGTCATAAAAAGYCTCTGGAGTTGATAAAAGTTGGGGTAGAAACCATCTTGTTGCTGCAGAGCTGTCTGCCTGTTTGACTCCACAGATCACTTTACTTGATGGTTGATTGACTTCTTTAACTTTTAACAGGGGGTTCTGACACCTCCGGGGTGTCGGACAGTAATCTGGGCCCGATGGACTCGATCGGACCCTCACAGCAGCTCTGCTCCGTTTAAATCCACCRTGTTGTTTCAGGGGAAACATCCAGGAACGCTGCAACAGTTCTGCTGAATGAAACCTGTTGAAAGCATCTCCACCTGTTTCTCGGCACCGCCCGCCCGCCCGCCGTCTAAGCCCCGCCCCCTCTTTTCCGTAAAGCAGAGCGAAACCTCGAACCGCCAGCCGTCCCTTACCGTGCTGGGAGGGCTGTCCAAGTTGCGGTTGGGGGGCGAACGAGGGGACACCTTGCCGCAGTAGGCCAGGGGGAGGTGGATGACACCGCCCAGTCCCTCGCTCTCCTCGTCCTCCATTCGCTGTCTGCTGGTTGCCATGGTTACCTCTCCATCTGTCCCCCCATATGGAGAGGCTGGTCGCTTGGAAGACATCCTGGAAGAGGAGCAGGAGACAGAAGAGACAAGGGGTGGGGACAGGAGGAAGAATGAGCAATATTCACCAGATGAAATCAGAGACTGACAACTGGAGCTGTGGTGTGCGTGTCTGTCTGTGTGTGTGTCTGTCTGTGTGTGTCTGTCTGTCTGTCTGTGTGTGTGTGTGGGGGGGGGCTTCCCCACAAACTCCTGGATCCTCCTCTGTGAGCGTACAACATGTCATCAACCTGCTTTAAATTTGTGTTTTTTTATTCTCCAAGTTCTATTTCACTTCTGTCAGCCTGCTGACACACACACACACACACACACACACACACACACACAGGTCTTACAATATGTTTACCACGGGGGCCATTCAACGTTCACTGTTCCAAAAGACGGGGCCATTACTGCAAATGGAGCAGCTTGCACAGCTCTGTGGAGGAAATGACCAGGTCCTGACAATAGGCTTTTCACAGAGGAACACAGACTGAGGGCAGTATGTACAGTGGCAATAATATGTATTTATAAAAACCCGCGGACAATGGAGGAACTGGAGGAAAGTAGCGAGCAGCATGACAGCCCTGCTGTTTGCATTTGTTAGCGTGGCTTTGTTCCCTTGAAAAGGGAAAAGGATATAAAGCCACGTCTATTAGATGAACTCTGTCCCTCACAAGGTAAATTTGCCTCCCCGTACTCCAGCTGAATAGGGATGAAGTGACTGTGCGGCAATAATAGAATTTAATGCGGTTCTCAGCTTCGCCTGAGTGCTTTCAGATGCACTTGTCAGCCTTGAAGCCACTGCGACTATGACCCTGGGTAATAGGCTGCTAACGCTCAGCCGTGCAGAGGAACGGAGGGACGCTGGAGAACTCAAAGATCTGAGACAAGCAACAGGCCTTTCAGTCGCCTCCTTCTTTATAACGCTTTGATTTTGATCGAACGAGTTGTTTTTTTACACATCTGCTCTCTGTCCTGACTCTAATTGACTCTGTCTTCCTCCTCAGCCTCTCCCCCTCAGATTCCTCCCCTCGCTCGCCGCTTGTCTCCAGTAAACTGATTACACTCTTGACTCTATTGGATTTCCTCCGGACTGTACATCTGGCATTCTTCCTCGGAGCGGCCCTGCCCCTAATTCATTGCTTATTTACCTCACCACGGTGCAAACACAAACAATGTGAAGCGCAGCTCCAGGYGTCACACCGGGACGTGTGAAGTTTGAAATAAACTTTGCAGAAACTCCCATCGGTGGGATGTAAAATTACACCTGCAATATTCGCAAATGAGTCGGATAATCCAATCATTTCGCCCAGTTTATGAATKTCATTACTTGCATATCGCTGAGAGACGCTTCACTCCTGAAAGGGGAAGTTAAGAGTCTTGCTTTTATCCACTGATGAGGGAAACATTCGGGAGAACGCTGCCTCGACACGAGCCTTTAAATCAAAACGTCCTCCTTGTTTTAATGACTTTTAAAAATGTTGCAATAAAATAACGCTGAAGTTGAAATATCTGCTTTCGGGGAAAGAACAGGATGTGCAGGAGAGAAGAACAAACAGCATGAAAACACATCAACAGGAACAAATGATTTTTTTTTATCTCCTCCACCTGAGCTCAGCAGAAAATAAAAAAATAAACATTATCAGCGTATCGATACTAAAACTGAAACCGAGCGGTGAAAACAGCTCTAAGTTGTAAAGAGTGTGGCGTTTCACACGCCGCGGCCCAGCTGTACAAACTGCCTTTTGAGCCACGCGACACAGACACACACACACACACACACACACACACACACAGAACAGAGGTCTGTCTTCATCACTACCTGTTTACTTTGCCTCCTTTCACTGGCTCACACTAAGGCCTTTTGTAGCCAACACAAACACACGGCCCCTTGTACGCAGCACACACACACACACCTTGTACGCAGCACACACACACATCTTGTACGCAGCACACACACACACCTTGTACCCAGCACACACACCTCTGAGCCTGACGCAGACCTGGGGTCAGCTCTGAGGCCCGTCGGCCCGCCTTCACACACAAACCTCTTGTATCATTTCTTTATCCATCAGTTGAACCACGGCTGCTGCTTATCCAAACACATTAAAGCAGAGTGAATATCGACTCTCTTTTCTGCACAGTTTCCTCCAAATTTAAAAAAAAAAAAGAAGTCACAGCTCCTCTCTGGTTGTAAAATCCCCCTCGCTCCCCTCAGTTTGCCTTTGAAGTGGAATTACAACACAAGCGGGCACAGCGGGTGTGCAGGTTCCTTGGTTTAAAGTTTGGCAGGGCGGTCGTGCTGCTGCAGACCCACAAGGAAAACGTCCTAAAGACACGACGTGAAGAAATGTGAAAAATAAAAAAAAGCTTTATTAAGCTTTAGAAAACAGTTCCACRGGTCATAATTACTGAATATTAGCATTAATTCACCCCTTTATATAAGAGAATCACCACTTTCAGGCCTTCTGTGTAAATGTYCCTTTTATAAAAACTCGCATGCACACGGTGAGAGTGCTAAGCTGAGATTAGAGCGCCACTTCCCCTTGGCTTTTTGACGATTAGCGGCTCCTCAGCTAAGTCCCTCTCATATCACATATGTCGCCCGCCGCTAAGTCACTAATCGGACAGCGGCGGACGTCCATTAACGCGCTGAGTAATCGCCATCAGCGGTGGTTAACGGGCTCCTGGCCGGGGCTCGCTGTAATCAACGCGCCCATTTGGTGTTGGCAGAGCTGCAGCTGCAGGAAAAACCACACGTTTGCAGTGAATCCGGGAGGAACGGGGACGGAGATTTGTTTTTGAGACAAAGCAACGCTGGTGTGTTTGGCTGCTAACACAACCGCGGTGCTATCTGCTCCTGTTAACTCCTACTTTCGGGGAGCGTGGGAGCCTCCTCTGGAGAATTCCTCTGCAGAACTGCTCTTTAAATCCACACACKCAATCGTTTCTGCTTTTAAAAATCAATAAATTAAAAACCTCTTTTGCCTTTTATTTATATTTTCCCCTCCTGCCACAGTTGCGAGGGCTCCGAAGCATCAGGCTGTCGCTCAGGTGAGGGTCTGTTTGCGTGGAAATGCGAGCGATCTTTGAAACGGCTCTGAGGGGAATGGAAGGGCATATCACAATAGTTGAGCGGAATGTGTCTTTTCAGATAAGGCGCCCGYGGTGTTTCTGCCTCCGAAGAGCCGACCGCTACGTTTACATCCGTGTGACACCTCAGGCAGGAATTTAAACCAATGTTTCCCCTTCAAACCCGCTTTTTTCCCTCTTTAAAAAGAAAAACCTGCCCTCCTCCATCTCTCCGTCACACGCTGTTGAACTTATTTTAACATGGCCTGTCCCGCTCTCTCTCTGGTGTTTTTTTACTCACTCTTCACTTTTTACACAATCAGCTGTTTGTAAGAATGTCCATCCCTCCCTTTTCTCCCATTTTTCTTTTTTTTCTTGGGCAGACTTTTAAGGATATTGCCTAATATCTATTTATAGAGTTGTCTTTTGAGTGATGCAGATAAAGATAACATCCAGAACTTTTATTTTGAAACTGGCCCGTAAGTTAAGGTAGAAAAAGTAGATTTTTGTCCTCCGGGGCAGCTCGTACACACACGCAGAAACACAAAGCGTCCTCTGTGACCGGCCTGCAGTTCTAACCGTGTTTCCTGTCCAGCTTCTCCACAAAAGGCAACAACCTCCTATCACTGCTGTTATTCACACACCCAGAGCAAAAAGTTGTTTCCAAAGTAAAGGCCTCTGGTTTGATTTGTTCATCCACCCTGAGTTTACTTTCCCCATCATCTTTCCCGAGTGAAGTGAGTGGACAGCACGACCCGACGTTTTTTTTTTGGCGCAGAAAAGATCGGGGAGGGGGAAAAAAGTTTTGTGCACTCATTTGTCTGGAAGCGAGGACAGCTCGTGGGAAAATCCTGCTTTAGAAAAGGGAATAAGAGGCAGAAAGACAACGCTGGGGGAGGAGTGACAACAGACGAGGAGAGGAGAAGTGCATCCGGTGGATGGCGACCCCGATCCCCCGGTGTTTGTGGGGAGGAGCTTAATATTTATTGAGCGACGGACGGTGTTTGACCATTGTTGTGCCGGGCATCTATTTGTGCTGCGTTTGTTCGGCAATCCATAAAGGAGTCACAACATTTGTCTCACTGTCAGCAACTTGGCCTGGCCTCACAAAACACACACACACATGCACACACATATACATACACACACAAACAAGCTTTTTTTCTCTCACGTAAATGACAACACAAGAGTCCCAGCTGGCCTCTTTCTTTCTTTCTTCCCGCTCTTTGAAGGTCTCCCACCTCGGCCCAAATGGTCTCCGTCTTTTTCTTCTTCCCTCCCTCTCTCTCTGCCCCCCCCTCACCCCCCTCTACCTGAAAAGACAGAGGTTTCATTGTGAACGGAGGGATGGATGGAGGGGAGGGGACAGTGTAAGACAAGCCGCCTGGATTGACGGATGAATTTAGACGAGATGCGTCGACTGAGCGAGCGTACAGTGCCTCGCTCTGCTTCTAATGATGCTGGAATGCCTCCAGCTGACCTTTGACCCCGCCCCCCTCTCTAACCGTGTCATATGACCTGAGTCTAGTTAGCTGGGTTTGGGATGTGGGCCTCAGTCTGAACACCTCTCCTTCCCGGTCACTTGTGACACTTTAAAGCTCGTCTCATCGCTCTGACCCCGCCCCCTAATCTATAACAAACGACAACAAACGAGGGTCAGCTGATCAAACCGGTGGGAGAAAACAGATTTCGATTGGGACACTTCAGCTTACTGCTTTGGTATTTTTCTTTTTTCTTTCCTTCCTCCCGCACCCCCCTTTTTTTCGCTGCGTAGACGGAGACACGGTTATCAAGGCTCTCTGGGGACAGACAATATGGCCGAGACAATGGACTCTAGTCCAAGGTGGTGGTGGTGGAGTGGGGGGGTAGAAGGAGACGGGGCCACAGGGGAAGAAGAGGACAGAACGGCGCATTGGTTTGCAGATCACGGACATTCTGCTCAATTAC